GGATTAGATGACGACTTACGTCGAGCTTTCGTTCGATAAAACCGTAGACACCTTTTACGAAGCTGTCTTAGCATTCTTCGCGGTTCGTGGATTATTGTATCAAGGGTCTGATGTATCCACTCTAATGGAGACCTTACAGAGATCGGGGTCTAAAACTTGACAATACTGAAATACGTAGAGATCTTTAAATTTGATACGAAAATTCGGAAATGTCCTTCTTCGTCCACGCGTATGTACAAAGCTTTAGAATTCAAATTAGCAAAGTAGACATCCGCAGCACAAAAACACGAGGTTTATATCAGAACTATCTCTATTCTTCTTTGTTTGAGAAGGAAGGCACGCATCGCGACGTGAAAATGGTCGTTGAAAAATAGGAAAATTATGCGGGAGTGGATACGCGTATGCGAGCAGGACGCGAAATCCTTTGATCCCGCTAAAGGGTCTCGTTCTTTTTCCCTTCTCGTCCGAAGATCCTGTCATACGGGGAATGAAGCGGGGACCTCTGCTAGACAGTCGCACGCTTTGCTCCGCGTACAAAGCAGCGATTTATTCCATGCGCTCATAATATTTTTTCACCGACTCCTTTTTGCTCCTAAACTCGATGCTCCTTTACAATTAAATCCGCAAGATGCTATTGAAATAAAACTGAGAAACGCGTGCCTCTATTTTCAAAGACTTGAAATCAATTTCTCCTATTCGTTGGCTCGAATAGAACACCAATTTCTCTTTCAAAATCGGGGTAGTACAAGAAAATAATCTTTGATGAAGTTTGTAGAAGATAATTTTGTTAGTAATTAAAAGAAGCTATAAAAGGAACGAATGAAAACATGGAGCTGTCTTCATCTTGTGAACACTGATGACACAGAACCCTAAAAAAAGAAGTAACTTTTCCATGTCCGTAAACTCTCGGAGATAAAATGGAGTCACCCTTCCTATCAAAACTCTAAAAAGAGCAGGTCTGTCCAAACAGTAGCGCGAGAAGTCACCCGCAAGACAGCTCCCCCAGCAAGTTAGACAAATAGTAACCGCGCTATCTAAACAGCCAAGGGTCTCGTCGAACGTAGCCATCTTCGTCGCGTAAGATTAAGTCGACGGATTACCCGAAAGAGTCACGCTTCTCCGCAACACCTGCAGGTTGCAAAAAAAATGCGGAGGCACGCGTCGAATCGGCACAAGGAACGCGATAACGGCGGGATTAGCGTCGATGATTTATGCCAGGCGATAAAGCACCGGTTGGCGGCGTAGACGCGCGGCATGCGGCGTGCAAGCAAGCGCCACCAGGAGGAATGATTTAGCGCGTTTCGAGGCGGGGAAAGTTAATGCGTTTGGCAGCGACGTTCGCCAGGAAACGCTCTGCTACAACGGACGTTTCCAGCACGGTTTACCCGCTTACGCGCTGCTCGCGCTGATTACGCCACACGCTCGATCCGTCGCTCGCGATTTAATATCGACGGTAATCCCGGTTAACGACTACCTAATCGCGCCTCTAGTTGCGTTTAATAATCGTGCCAGCTGGCTTTCGCGCGAAACCGCTGCTGGACCTGGGAAAAATGAGAGGACCCAGGGAGAAACCTCCGAGTTCTTTCATTTTTATACTTCTAAATTTTTCAACATCGAGATGTGGTTAATTCCTTAATCTGTAATTTTCTGGACAGTTGATTCAATCACAAAATTGAATTACAGTGAAAACGAGTCTATCGAACTGTAGGATGCGTTAACTGTAGGGGTAGTGACACGATAAGTTCGCCGAAAAGAAAAGAATGAATTAGCGTGGACAATTGGTTAGTGCAGTGGGCAAAATCTGGACTCCAGATAGCAGGAAATTCGTGTTATCGACGAAAGAGAAGAGATACAATCGGCTCGAGATAATCCGAAGCAATGGTCCTCTGTCGATATCGAGGAGCAGGAGGACGTCGACGTCTAGCATCGACTCGCTATCTGGACGGTCGAAATGACGATACGTTCCATCGAGCAGGGCCGATAAACGAAACCCAATTCCACTCGTGCTGTAATTAACCGTAGCTACAAGGCCGATACAACCCCTTACCGCGAGACCGGAAATAACTGCTCCCTTTTCCTTTCCATTCGCCTGTTTCGCTTTTTAGTCGTACCGATGCCGCGTAAACTTCTGCCTAAGAAGAAACGAAGCACTTTTCTTCTCGCAGCTCGTATTTCCTCGCTTTTCCGCCTCGTTCCGCGATTTTCTCGGTTCTGTGCCTGTTCCACTCGCCGGCGGAAACAAAGCGGATTCCCAGGCGTAATAAAGAGACTCGCCCCGGCGCAAAAACGCTATCACCGAGGACTTCTTCCTGTTCTCACCCTTCTTTCCGTTTTCAGTCGTTCCTCGATCGATTAGCGAAAGTGAAGGAGGATGGAATCCGATTTCTCCGAGACTTTCAGTTTCTTCCACCCTCTCGATAGTTGAAAGAAAAAAGAGAACGCTTTGTCGTATCTTTTTACAGGGTACTAACAATTTTCAAGTTGAATATGAAAAAACTTTCAGCGAATTCCCCGATGTTTGTACTCTACAAATCACGCGTTTTCATCCCCCGGTAATCGGACGTCGTCTGCAATATCCCGGGAGCGATAATTCAAACTTAAACTCCTCCAATTGGCCGCATTCGTCCCATTGTACTCGTAAACTTAATCTAAACTTGGAACAAACGCACGAAAGGGGTGGCTTGATCGTGCCAAGCTCACCCTCGACAGGATTTCCAGCGATAAATATCCTCGAAGAAATTAACCCTCGAGATGGTAGCCGAAAACGATCGCGACAACCCGGCACAAAGGGGATTGCGAAGCGACACCGAGAAAACTACGAGCCGGAAGATAGGGACGGTGGTTTTAATAAATATCGCGCGACTGTATCGTCCTCTAATAAACTCCAGACAACTTATGAGCGGACCGTATTCTCCGGCTGCTTTTTAATTACTATCATCCGGCTCGCTCGACCCTCCCTTCAATTCTTCCGCATCCTTGCCTCCTCTGCGCATTTTGCCTCGCGCAACGTTACGATTCTGAACCGCTTTTTCTTCCGTCTTCTCGTCAAATTTCCAAGTATTTTAGCTCGTCTCTTGGAATATTTCTTCTAATCGAATTATCATTCGGTGTTAAGAACTGCAACGTTTCGTTCTACTTCGAGGATCGCGGTCAAGAAGCGTCGAAAGAGCACGCAAAATGTTTACTGCAATTTCGGTAGTTACTGTACTGCTGGTGGAGAATTCAATTAAGGACGCCCGATGCATTTAACACCCTGTACAGCCGGAGAGGGTGCAAAAACCAAAGCTGAGCTTTCCTTCGAGACTAGGTAACGTACACGAGACTGTGTACATACATATGTATAGATAGGTTGGCCGCGCTAAATAATTATAATTCGGATTAAACCCTCGCTCGTCGCAAGACACTGCTCTCGATATTAAAGCGATTTAATATAACGCGCTTCCAGGACGAAATTAGAAATTATAAACGGGCCGGGACGCTGTAAATAACGGGAATTTTACGAGCTAAAACGATCACCCTCCCGAAGCTTTCCTCGCGAAATTCTCGGTCGCTTTAATCGAAACGAAAGATAAATCTGTAGCCAGTGTGATTCTCCAATTACGCGTAATGATGTAAAATCGTCGGGCGATAATGGGTCGTCGGGTTCGGCAACGGCACGCAAATGGAACACGTGTTCTCTATTAATAGGGCCCGAGTCGTTTTTATCCGTTCATCGCGGGAGGAAAAAAGACGAAACAGGAGGGAGGATGAAAAAGCGGAGGCGTCGGTAGAACGATGGCTGCTGTCACGGGTAAATACGCTTTTTTAACAGCCAGCTAAAGACAATAACAGAAACAGCGACACGAAACAGAGTTTTCGTACACGCTGGTACATACGCGCCAGCACGATTCATCCCGAGCAGGCGACCCAAAGCGATTATTCTTCGCGACTGCTCTCACTTTTAACATCCGTCCCGATGATCCTTCTCTCCTATCTTTCTACTTCCTCTTTTTACCGTCCCCTTTTTCTCTACGAGTGGACGATTTGCCCGACGATAAAGCGATAACCAGAGACGTTTAAGAATCGTTGCTAGATTTTGCGGATATGGAATTTTTAACCGTTTGCACCCCTTACTGTCTTCACTAGTCGATTCACACCATTGAAATTCTCAGAGATCTTCAAACAAAGCATACACGAAATGATGCTTGAAAGATTAACTTCCTGAAGATTCTTTTCGATTCCCGGAGAAACAGTTTGTTAAACAACCGTTTCTCGCAAAGACCTTTTTTACTCCTCGATTCAATTTGCTCAGATCGGATAAGGAGAATTTATCCCGTGATATGAATCAAACAGAATCTTCCAGCGATGCTTTCTTTCCCGCCACCAGGTCTTCTACGTCACCGGAAACTCAGTCCTTTTCTCCGACAATTTCATTTTCTCCGTCATCGATGGGGTCTAATTATAATTTTATACGTCAAGTTTCGGCCACGCTGAACGTTAACGACAGAATATTGGAGGACTTTTGAACGCGCGGATTAAGGCGGAGAATATTTCATAAGCAACCCTGAGGAAGTTTCTTCGAGACTGTTAGGTCGAAGTGCCTTCGAGAAGCCGACGTAAGCCACGAAGCTATGAATACGCGGCGAGATTCGAATCAAGATTTAAAGTCCCCTTAACCGATTAGAGTTTTCTGAGGCAGAATTACCCCGAAACCTGCAGCAATTTTTATCACTAGCTTTAATGAATATTCGCTTACGGAGTACCTAAACATTTGTCAATTTTGATGGCTTAGTTCTTTGTGTAAATTAGGGACTTTCGTGTCACTGTTTCATACAAAGCTGAATTCTTTGTGTAAATTAGGAACTTTCGTGTCACTGTTTCTGTGTATGTCGAATGTTTGAAATTTTACTGAAATAAGAACTCGAAGAATAGTCGACTTTATACAATAATTAATAATTTTATGTAACAATTAGTGATGTAAATAATCGGTGAAGGGTGGTATTATAAAGAGTGGAACTTACCGGAATGGCGACGCAGTCTTCGATCTCGGTGAGAGGTTCTTCCGAGCAAAAGGTGCCGTCGGTGAGGAACGGTGGCCGAGGGGGTGGCGGCAACCGGAACTCAGGGGGTGGCCCCGGACACTCGGGGCACTCCGTGCTCTCCAGCGTCTCCAACTCCTCCATCCTCCACCTCAGCGTGCTGAAAACCGCACGGAAAATCACAATGTTCGATTAATCCTATTGACAGAACTATTAATCGATACGGGAGTGAAACTTTATCAAACTTCGACTACCCTTCGTTATTATTCCACCGCTTTCCGCTCGCACGCGAACTTCGAATTATGGCAACCTTTTCCACTGAAAGGCTTGATTACTTGCAACAGTTGATCGAGTTTTATTGTTCCGCTTTAATGACACTTTGCATTCTAACAAAAATATTTAACCCCTTAACCTACAATTTTCTAGATTTAATTGTTCCTACTGAAGACTGAAGAAAGTTAAAAACATTATGCATTCAGCGATCCCTTATATAGATAATCTGAATTGAACACAAAATTCAATTGCAATAAAGGTACAAGTCTAGTTGTAAGGCAAGTTATCGTTCAAATAGAAATTTACTGTTACATCGTACATTTTGAGCATGTCCTTTTAATTATGCCACTGTACCTACCCATCGACCAGCGAGTATTTCTAAAAGTCTAAGAAATCGCAAAACGGGAGGTGCATTCAACGATCTCTTATATAAATAATCAGAATTGAATACAAAAATTTAATTGCAATAAAGGTACAAGTCTAATTGTAGGGCAAGTTACCTTTCAAATAAAAATTTACTGTTACATCGTTCATTTTGAGCATGTCCTTTTAATTATGCCACTGTATCTACCCATCGAGCTGCGAGTATTTCTAAAAGTCTGAGAAATCGCGAGACGGGAGTTGCAGCAAGGAGACTCGTGCAGATAAACTCGTTAGCGATATCATCCAGGGAAAGCGAGTATCTAGACGCTGCAATAGTAGAGTTCAGGTTAGAGGCAAAAAAAGAACTGCCAGTTGACCGAGAAAGTTGGCGAAGTCGGGGTTAAATTGATAACGGTCCCGAGCGTCCGTAGGGTGGATTTCGCCAGCTAATTAAGAGATACGCGTCTGGTAGCCGGTCCTAATGGCCGCCGACCAGAATAGATTCCCTGACCGATGTAGCTCGCGTAAATGGGGGTAAACGCGTGCTTTTTCTACGCGTTCCGCGCTCAAACACACACTGACAAGTGGTATCTCGTTAGCATAGGAAGCACCTTTGGGTCAAGTCGTTCCACTTCGGCTGGGAACTGCCTCTCTCTTCGCGTTAGTCGGTATGCTAATATAGGGACTTAATTACAGTCTCATAATGAATCAGTCACGCTAACGTCTATCCCGCACCCCATGGAACACACGATTGTATTCCGTTGATTAATTGTTTCAGCCTCTGAGCCGCGACGCTCTAGCCGAGCGGAATAGACGATCGCCGATAGGAAGCTGCCCCTATTCGTCATCCACCGAGCGATTTCGTTGATTGATTTCACCCTCCGCTCTGCATTTCTTTAATAGCGCAGGTTATTGTATAGACTTGCCGGAAGCGCCGTGGGTGGCGGGATGATTGAACCGGGTCGATCGCGAGCGGTTAATATGTTCTTCGCTACGAGTTAACGCGTTCCGGGGTCGTAGATATTCAGAGGGTTGCAATGAACCGCGATGAGTTTCACCTGCGACGCGCACGAAGATTGAAACTTTTGTCGAAGAAAGAATTTCACCGATTGTTCGGTAAAAGATGTAGAAATTCATGAAGCCTGCGATCTTTTTAAAAGCAAAGTTCGATTCAATTTCGAATGAGTCGAGAAACTCGCAGAAGATAGGACGGTGACGAAGACGCCATTGAGTCACTATTTCACGCGTAGAGAACGTATAAGGAAAAGGAATAAAAAAATGGCGCACGTAGGTGGACGAAGTGGAGGAACGAGAAAAGGAACACGTCCTGGCTTTAATAAATGCAGTCGTGCTTCCGTTTCGTTTCTTGCCCCGACCGATATTCCAGCTCGAATGCTGGAACCCCGTGGTGCTTCTCCGTTTCTTCTTCATCCCCATTTCCACCCCTCGTTCTCCGTGTTCTTCTCATTCGCATGCAGAACAGAACGCGAACGCGCAGCCAACCGAGCGGCGTCGAGCGCCCGTCTCGTTTCTGGCTCGGCTCCGTGCGAGCCAAATCTACAGTTCGCGTGATTTTTATTTAATTCCATCCGATACAGCCCTTCCGCGCCGCTTCCGCTTCCTCCTCTGTTTTCGCCCTTCTTTTTGCCGCGATACCAACCGCATTTCCACGAGCTTCGACGTTCGCCAAACCGAATCTTGCTACATGGAAACAAACCGTACGGTGGTTAGGTTCCGTCGCGGAGAGAAAATCAAACATCCGACGGGGGAATATTTGCGAATCGATGAATTCGAGGGTGGAGGAAGACGGGATTCGAGGGATCGACGGTGTGGGAATTAACTAACAAGGATTTTCGAGAATACTGTGGATACTCGGGACAGATAGGGAGACGAAAGTCGATTTTCGGCTATTGTCGATCGACTTTTCGCGCGACGAAGCGGATCAAGATATACAAAAGAAAGGGAGCAGACGAGGACTCAATAAAACCCAGCGACAATGCCGTCTCGCGAAGCCTATTTCTCAGGAAACTGCGTCTTCCGCGCGCTAAATATCCGGCTGACGAGGATAACTGATAAGAAGCCAAAGAAATGTTTTCCACGGAAAATTCGGGTAGGAGCGCGCAGGTTTTAATAGTTAAACACAGTACTTTTGCTGTATTACCTCGAATATAGCGACGATCGTAATAAAAATGTAGATCTGTTGTAATAAAAATGAGGGTAAATTCATAGTTGAGGCACGTAAGATATATCTTCGCAAAAATGTGGAACGTTACAGTTTCGTGCGCTCCGTAAAAGCAGTCTTCCGCGTAGAAAGGTCAGCTAAGAATTTATTCGAGAGTTAATTGGAGCCTCGTTGCACGATTTCGCGCGATAAATCTGGTGCTGGTCATGTCTGGGAGTCGCAACGACCCGAAATAGTCTAGAACAATGGTATTCGGGAGCGACCCGGCCAGCCGAAAGTCGAGAATCGATGCGACAAGAAAGTAACTCTCGAGTACAGCGCGTATTTTTTTATTTCGCGGTTCGGAAAATACGGAAGCCCTAGACGTCGGTAAGGGATGAATAAACAACGATGATTACACGCTGCGAGGAATATCGCGGATAAGGCCGGACGAGTACACAGTGCGCTCGTATTATGCGGTCGTAATTATTGCATTAATTAGCCGTCGTTATAAACCACTGCTCCCGGAGCGATAAGAGGATTACGTGTTCGTGGAAAAATTCAGAGCGCAGAGTTTGTTGAAAAATAGTCGCAAACCTAACGAGTTAAGTTAACTGGATCGTGGAAGCGTGTAAAGCTCGTAAACGATACGATTATACCCGAAGTAGTTCATTCAACGATACGCAACATTATTCACATAATTTTCTTATAACTTGTCTTCGCGTTAACTACGAGTTTAGATCTGGGTTAGGTGTTTAGATCTGAATTCGAGTGATCGTATACCTTACGTGTTACATAGGTAATAAGGTACACATGGGTATAGGTGCATAGATAAATCAGAGATGTCTAACATTGTTCCAAGACTAGAATCTAGGTTAAAGTCTATCTAGTTTTAACACTTTTCGACTGCTGAAATATTTGAATTTATTTTAAAGTTGCGATTAATATGAACTCCGCTTATCGAAGCGAAGAAGATATTCGGCAAAGTTGGTCGTAGAAGGCGCGCGTGAGAGCGCGTTAACGCGCGGATGGACGCGTCCTCGCGCAGCTGACACATCCAGTAATTTCATTATGAAAATCCGACTAGAGCCTACGTGTCGCACGCGCGAGAATATATTCGCCGTGCGACGACGAGGCTGGAAAAAGAACGACGGACCAGAGAACGAAACGAAATGGAACGATGGAACGGTAGAGGGTGAGATTTCGCGAACCGCGTTGCACGAAATTTCATAACGTGGCTGCCTCGCCTCGTCGTCCCGAAATTCACGACGGCCACCGCTATTTTTCCCGAAACGAATGTCACTGTGGTTCGTATTTATGACCGGCTGCTTTCGTTTAATGTACTCGCTCCGAAACGCGTTCGCAGCGTTTCGAAACTGGACCATGTACGAGTGTCTTTGCTTTCGATCGATTCGCTGCAAAACAATCACTGGAACGTGAAGGAACTCTACGATTCACCCTTTGCACTCGAAGATAATTTTATTGTTCACAAACAGCAACATTAAAATATTAATTAAAATGTTAAACGAGTTCTTTTGAGATTTCTGTACTAATAATTTCCACTATTGTCTATTTTACTATGTTTGTACATTGCACAAGCACTATTATAGAATTAATGAAATAATGCTTATTGAAAAATATTGTATTAAATCGAATGGTGCCTGAGGCACTCGAGCGCGAAAGGAAAAGTCGCGTAAAAGAATATTTAAAGGGGATGACCAAATAAATTAAGGAACCGAAAGCGTGTCAGAATTACAGAGTCGAGTTTTGAAATATCAGAGTTTATGGCAACGACAAGGTAACACCGATGCAGGTGATCGATATTTGTCGCAAGATAGAGATTTTAAAAGAATTGCGGAGAATCAACTTAGCGTGTCCCGAAGACGATCAAAATGGATTCCCGGCGTGGGTCGAGGGACAGGAATTGATGACCGGTACTGGACGTTGCTTCTTCGAGAGAAAGCGGATAAATTGGGAACGATGTGGGAGGGAAATATTGTTCGAAAACGATCGCCGTTCAAGATTCCGCTTTATGCGTTGCTCGTGCACCTTCGATATTTCATAATCCTCCGGCTGTCCAGTATGGAGGCCACCGTCTGGTCGGGATTTCTCGAACGCGTGGCGACCGATCGATAAAAACAACGTCGCGTTACGCGAACGTGGCTGTTTGCGAAACGGCAATAATCATCTTCGTGACGCATATTTGGTGGCGGCAACTGGCTGACAGGATCGCGTGCAACAAACCGTGGCCAGGCGTGCGTTTGTTGGCAGAGTTTGTATCATTTAACTGGCAGATACGGGCCTCGGTGAGCAAAGCTAATGCTGAAATAATGCGACACACCGGCTCGTTGGTTGCCACGCGT